GAGGGATGAAGCATTCAATTTTGATCTTGCTGAATATGTTTTCTTTGTAATCAACCAAACAGAGTATATAAAATGTGAAGAGTAAAGAATTAGAATCCGTAAGCAAGGGAGACATATAGTGCTCTTCTAGAGTTTGCATGCCTACTTTTATATAGCATTTCAAAACATAAATGAATATTAAAATATCAGTATCATCTGAATATCAGAACAAGGGGATTTTTGAGTTCAGAGGAAAGAGAAAATACAGACATACAAGTAACATTTTAGTCAATGACAGACCCTATATAGGATAGTGGTTCCGTAAGATTATAATTGACTATTGTGAATGGAATTGCCTTCTTGATTTGGCTCTCAGCTTAGATGTTACTGATGTGTAGAAATGCTACTAACTTTTGTACATTGATTTTGTATCCTAAAACTTTGCTGAAGTTGTTCATTTTGTACATTGATTTTGTATCCTGAAACTTTGCTGAAGTTGTTCACCAGAGACAGAAATATTTGGGCAGAGACTTCGGGGTCTTCTAGGTATAGAATCATATAGTCTTCAGAGAGAGGTAGTTTAATTTCCTCTATTCCTATTTAGATCCCTTTTATTTCTTTCCCTTGTCTGATTGACCTGGTCACTATAGAAAAATGTCTGGAGATTTCTCAAAGAACTTGAAATAGACCTACCATTCAACCCTGCAATCTCATTACTGGATACATACCCAAAGGAATAGAAATTATTCTACCATAAAGACACATGCACATGCATGTTCATCACAGGACTATTCATAATATCAAAGACATGAAATCAACCTATATACCCATCAACAGCAGACAGGAAAAGGAAAATATAGCACATATGCACTATAGAATATTGTTTAGCCATTAAAAAACAACAAATTACTTCCTTTGCAGCCACGTGAATTAACATAGAAACAGAAAAACAAATATTACATATTCTCTCTCTGATAAGTGCGAGCTAAACACTGAGCATATATGAACACGAAGAAGGAAACAGTGAACACCGGGGCTTACTTGAGGGTAGAGGTTAAGAGGAGGGGAGGATTGGAAAACTACCTATTGAGTATTATGCTGATTACCTGCACGACAAAATTATCTGTAAACCAAACCCCTAAAAAAACACAATTTATCCATGTAGCAAACCTGCACATGTACCCCTTGAGCCTAAAATAAAAGTTGGAAAGAAACAAAAAGATTATAAGGCAGTTGAAAAATTCCTACCGCCTCGTGATGCATAGCCATTGTAATGTCCTTGCCTAATGCATTACTCAGGTGTTTGTGAGGATGCTGGTGTGCTGCCAGTCCTGCAAAAGTATAGCACATACAATTATGTACAGTACATAATACTTTATCAAGATAATAAACAACTATGTTACTGGTTTACATATTTACTATACTATACTTTTAATTATTATTTTTGAGTGTACTCCTTCTACTTACAAAAGAAAGTTAACTGTAAAACAGCCTGAAGCAGGGTCTTTCAAGAGGTATTCCAGAAGTCATCAGTATGAAAGGAAATGACAGCTCCATGCATGTGACTGTCCCTGAAACAGGATGAAGAACATCCCGTAGGAAAAGATGTGGATATAGAAAACATTCATACTGATGATCCTACTCCATGTGTAGGTCTGTGCTAATGTAATTGTGTCCTAGTTTTTAACAAACTATTTAAAAAGTAAAAAAAAAAAGTGCAAAAATACACAAAAACTTACAAATAAGGACATAAGTAAAATATTTTTGTACAGCTGTACGGTGTGTTGTGTTTTCAGGTGTTATTACAAAAGAGTAAACAAGTTAAAAATTGAAGTTTTTAAAGTAAAAAAGTTAAAAAAAGCTAAAGTTAATTTATTATTGATGAAAGAATACAATTTAAAAAATAAATTTAGCATAGCCTAAGTATACACTATTTAAAAGGCTACAGAAGTGTACAGTAAAGTCCTATGCCTGCACATTCATTCACCACTTAGTCATTGACTCACCCAAACTTCCAGTTCTGTAACCTCCATTCCTAGTAAGTGCCATATAAAGGTGTATCATACTTAAAAATCTTTTATACCATATTTTTACTGTACTTTTTCTATGTATAGACATGTTTAGAGATTAAAATACTTGCCATTGTGTTACAAATTGCTTACAGTATTCAGTACAGTAACAGGACGTACAGGTTTGTAGTCTAGGAGTAATAAGCTATCACATAGCATGAGTGTGTAGTAGACTATGCTACCTAAGTTTAGGTAAGTACATTCTATGATATTCACACAGTGATGAAATCTCAAGATACATTTCTCAGAATGTATCCCTGTCATTAAGCAACACATAACTATGCAAAAGTATCTGTGGAATTCCAAATATAGACTGGATAAAATGAATTGCACAGCATTATGCATTACAATAAAAAGAACCAATATTGAGTACACTCCATGTGCTAAGTATTTCACTTGTGTTCAGAAGTACGATCCTGTTTAATCCTGACAACAGGCCTGAAAAGTTAAATTTCATTATCTACAATTTCTAATCATAGAAGTTAAGTAATTTGCCAAATGAAACAAAGCCAGTAAGTAATTTCTTAAGCAAGAATTTGAATTTAGATGTGTTTAAGTTCTCAGCCCACATTCTTTCCACTATATCAAGAAGCTTGTTGAAGATGGGGGAGGGCAGATCCCAATACCTTCTTAAAAACTGCACATATTATATTCTTGCTTCTTTGGGGCTTTTGTAAAGTTAAACTCCTACTTTTACATCTGTAAGTATTCAGTTTCCTACACAGTTTTAAAGACTCTGTTTAGGTTCCTTGCCCCGTCTTTACAGGAAGGCATGACATTATTGTCACTGATTAATATTCATGACTCTCCACCCTCTGGATTCCATGCCCAGCACCTGTCATAGTGCCACCTTACTGTCTGGACTAAGGAGGGGTTGATTTTCTTATACTAACTGGTAGGTAAGCCCCTCATTTCCATTTCCAGGTAACATATTTGTGTGTTTGTTTTCACATATGCAGGCTATATAGATTGGTTAACAAACATCATTCTCGTAAACAAATACAAATAGATAAACAGCAGGTGTCTTCAGTTCCATGTTCTCAAACTTACATGGTGTGTTAGCTCTGACTTCATTACTACTAACACAGAATTCCTTAAATCTCTATTCTGTAAACAAATAAACAAAAAATACCTTTTTATCTCTACAGAAAATCCTGTACATGATAAGGATATTCTTTATCCTTTGGTTATTTTCTATACTCACTTTTAGTTTATATATTTTCTTTGATGTATCCCATTTCAAGGTTTTAAGGTTGACACATGACGCCTATAATCTCTAGGGCTTAAAAGTCAATTTCTGTAAAGTATAACATAGTCCACTTATTTTACAAACCAAGGCAGTCAAACCAAGCCATGAAAAGCAATTTTTGGGTAGAAATCAGGCTTCTATTCTCAATCAATATAGATGAAGCCTCAGTATTGCCAAAGATCTTAATTACTATGATGATGATGATGATTCAGTAATCTAGATTTAATTTTCAAAGGGATTTCAAAATGAAACTACATACCTCATCCCACAACTATCCAAATGCAGACTCAAGCCTAAGTAATATATCTCATATAAACACTAAAAAGGTGGGTGGGAGCGAAAGGGTTTGAGAATGTCTATATGATCTGATTCTCTGTTGGGCCAGTTAATTTTGAACCTTCACCTTCCTAAAGCATCCAAACGTTAGGCACAACTTCTCGCCATCCGCGCCATCTAGTGGCTGTACGTGTTATGTTTGGTTTTAAGGATGATTCCTAATGACTCGGGGGCGGGGTACGCGAAAAACAAAACGGTTGGTCGCGACAATTTTCCTGTGTCTTTCCACATCAGTAACCCCTCATAGGAACACCTTTAACTACTTTAACCATTTTAAATATGCACAGCGATGCGCAGGGAGGCTGAAGGGGACACACACTCTCAGAGACGCACGCCCCTTGACGATGACATTTAGAAAACGGCTCCACATCCCTCTGTCATTCATAAAGGACGGGAAAAGGAGTTGTGGCAAGACCTCGACCGAGGAGACTCTCTGACTTCTTGGCAAGTTGGATAGATGGCATATTAATCCCTGCAACGTTAACAAACTGCTATGGAAAATAAATAAAAAAGAGAAAGAGGAAATGCACTTAAAAATTCCGCCTCGGGGCTTTGCAGGTCTTGCCTTCCAGTCGCCCCCAGAAGACAACCAATTCCTGCGCATTCCGCTCCGCTCACCCTCCTTCCCAGCTTCTCTAGCTCTCTTTCCCCCCATTTTCCCACGCTCGCCTTGAACCGGGACTCGGGAGGCAGGAGCGGGTCCCCTTCCTCCTCTCCTCCACCAAACCACCGCAGCCCAGCGCGAGAAGCTTCCCTTTGTTCATCCGAGGCTCGCTCTCCTCCCCGGCAGATCCACCTGGATGCTCTCCCTCGGTGACATTTTGCGCCGGGGCTGGTGGGTGGCTGGGGTGGAGCGAGAGGAGCCCGAGGGGGCGGGGGCGGAGAAAGGTCAAGCCGAGGGAAAGGCAGGAGACGCCTTTCCTAACCTGCGTGGCGGGGCGTGCGCGCGGTTATTTATTTATTTTCTCCTTATTTATTGATCGCACTAGCAGAGCAGCGCGGGGAGCCCGGGGAGATGCGGGACCACCCACTGGCGGGGAAGCAGCGAGCAGCCCTCCCGCGCCCCCGCGCTGCCGAGCGCCTTCTGCCTCCGCGCTCGGACGAGAGCCCGTGCCGGCCCCGGCCCCGGCCCCGGCCCCGCCGCGCCGCCGCCGCCGCCCGCCCAGCAGCCCCGCAGCCCCGCCGCCCAGCAGCCCCGCACCGCGCCGGCCAGGCCCCCGCGACAGTGGCCCCGCAGTAAGTTGGCAGGAGCGGGTCCCCTCCGTTCTCGCCTCCCCCGCACCTTTTGAACTTGTTGCTGCTGCTCTGCTCGCCTGCGCCTGGCTTTTGGAAGGTGAAAAGGAGGAGGGAAGCACGGAGGGATGGGGGAAGGGGAAGAAGAGCTCGCTTGAGCTTTATTTATGCTCCCTCGGCGCATCGGATTCAGCTGCTCGCGAGCTGCTTTCTCTCCTCTTCCCTTTCCGGGTGCACGGCGAGGAGAAAGTCTCTTTGCAACTCAGCCCCGGCGCGCACTTGGCCAGGTATGTACCGCGGGCGCGGCGCGTTCGGCGCGGAGGCAGATGCTGCTGCCGCCACGGCGGCGGCGGCTGGCAGCTCCTGGGCTCTGTAACTGTCACACTGCACCTGAGCTGAACTTGAAAAGAGTGAAGGGGCGATTGGGCGAACGCTTTTGGCAGACACAGAGGGTGTTTGTAGTCGTGGGGGTGGAGGATCCGTATTAACGCCCCCCACAGTGCCCACTGGCACATCACCTCAATCTCTGCAAATACAGCCCGAGGAGTAGAGGCGGCAGCTGGACCCCCAAAGAGAGACGTGGGGCAGCGGCTGTGACCGCATCCCCTGAGCTACAACAGGTCGCCTTTTTGAGACTCCTTTGGCGGGAAGGGCTACTTGGAAAGGAAGGTTTGAAAGAGTGAGAAGGATAGGTGGAAGGGTTCCCTAATTTGTGGAAAGAATTGTATTGGGTGACTCTCGTTCGTCTTCTCTATCCTACACTCCACATACTGACCCCATATTATCCAGACTGTGCGAGGGGAGAAATCGAAGACACCTGTTTGCTTAAACGGCTGCACCTGTGTGCTTATTTGTGCCAGAGGGTGACCTGGCCCACCTGCTGGAAGAGGTTTGCCTAGGCTTTGTTGGGGGTGATTGTTAGGACTTTGTATTTTGTTGTCATTATTTCAAATACCTGTCTTGGAGGGAAACTTGCCCTTCTGAGAACTGTGACTTCACCAGGAGCCCTACCTTGGAATAAGAGGCCCTGTGGACCACGTTTCTCACTAGTACTTTGCTGGACTGGAGGACGTGGGTGACTGGCTGCCTCGATTGACCCATTGTAGACGCCTCGGTATCCTTCGTGCCTCCTCTTCAAAGAACCATGGCGGCGGGGGTGGCAGCGTGGCTGCCTTTTGCAAGGGCGGCGGCCATCGGTTGGATGCCTGTAGCCTCGGGACCCATGCCGGCTCCCCCGAGGCAGGAGAGGAAAAGGACCCAAGACGCTCTCATTGTGCTGAATGTGAGTGGCACCCGCTTCCAGACGTGGCAGGACACCCTGGAACGTTACCCAGACACTCTACTGGGCAGTTCTGAGAGGGACTTTTTCTACCACCCAGAGACCCAGCAGTATTTCTTTGACCGTGACCCAGACATCTTCCGCCACATCCTGAATTTCTACCGCACTGGGAAGCTCCACTACCCTCGCCACGAGTGCATCTCTGCTTACGATGAAGAATTGGCCTTCTTTGGCCTCATCCCGGAAATCATCGGCGACTGCTGTTATGAGGAGTACAAGGATCGCAGGCGAGAGAACGCCGAGCGCCTGCAGGACGACGCGGATACCGACACCACGGGAGAGAGCGCGTTGCCCACCATGACTGCAAGGCAGAGGGTCTGGCGGGCCTTCGAGAACCCTCACACCAGCACGATGGCCTTGGTGTTCTACTATGTCACGGGGTTTTTCATTGCCGTGTCTGTCATCGCGAATGTGGTGGAAACAGTGCCATGCGGGTCAAGCCCAGGTCACATTAAAGAACTGCCCTGTGGGGAGCGGTACGCCGTGGCCTTCTTCTGCCTGGACACGGCCTGCGTCATGATCTTCACCGTTGAGTACTTGCTTCGCCTGGCTGCAGCGCCCAGTCGTTACCGTTTTGTGCGTAGTGTCATGAGTATCATCGACGTGGTGGCCATCCTGCCTTACTACATTGGGCTGGTGATGACAGACAATGAAGACGTCAGCGGAGCCTTTGTCACACTCCGTGTCTTCCGGGTCTTCAGGATCTTTAAGTTTTCCCGCCACTCTCAAGGCCTGCGCATCCTGGGGTACACACTGAAGAGCTGTGCCTCAGAATTGGGCTTCTTGCTTTTTTCGCTCACCATGGCTATCATCATCTTCGCTACAGTTATGTTCTACGCAGAGAAGGGGTCTTCGGCTAGCAAGTTCACCAGCATCCCTGCAGCCTTCTGGTATACCATCGTCACTATGACAACACTAGGGTAGGTGCCATCGTGGAAAATGGGATGGAGGTTGGGTGTGGGTGGGGTGATTGTGGACCCATTAAGGTTATATGATAATTCAGAAGAAATCATTTATTTTTCTTTTCTAAGTGAGTTTGGAGAAGCATTATCTAAATGGTTTGGCAAAACTCTTTTGATCTGTGAAATGAGTGTAAAACACAGGTTGAAGTATTAAGCAATTGCTGGCAAATGTTGAGCATTGATGCCTGAAAGGGATAAAGATACAAAGAAATTTTAGAATTCCTGAATATATGAAAGTATTAGCAATATTTATATTAATATAGAAAAATATTATGACAATGAAAAAATCCATGCCCTAATAAAGACACAAATATATACAATGCATATTGAAATGTCTAGAAAGTGCCTTAATGCATTTAAATAAAAAGTTTCCAGGTATATTTGAACTATTATTTTCATATGAATAGATACTTATGGTGTGCATTTTTCCTCTAAGAACCATAATCCTTATTTTACATTGTAAAACATAGATTGGAGATGTAATTATCAAAGTATTTTATAATATGTATGCACATATTCATATGTATGCACTTTAGGTTGATAGGTTATTCAGTGTTTTCGAATATCAGGGCTGAAACTGATCAACTCTACACTATGCAGTGGAATTAAATTTGCAACATATTTCAAACTCTAGGTTCATAGTTTCAAAAAAAGAAGCAAAAGACTGTCATCCACACATTTTTTTTTTTAGAATGTAAAGATCCCATCAGGCAATGGGCCCACACCCATTAAATACACACGGAAGATAGAGCAGTATCTGGTAAGATTGATGGTCACCAGGGCTGGCTGTATTATGAAATGTGGGGTCCTAATTTCCTTTTAAGATTTTTCTGGGTATTCTTTTTTGGGAGGATAATGAAGTTTTGCAACCAAAGGGACAAATTTCTGAATTCATGTTGTTTTTCATAGACTTTTAGGGCTAGAATTAAGATTTTTTAGGTAGTCGAAAAAGGAAAGGAATCAAATGATTAATAATGTTAATCAAACTGCAGAAAAGTAGCAGTATTTTACTTATTAGAGAATCTAATAAAATAAAGTGGTTAGAGCCGTTTACTTTTATGAGTTCTTAGATAAGCTAGGGAGTGAGGTTAGTGCCTTTTTTTCAGCTTTATGCTACTATTCTTGCATAGGTAATCAGCTCAGTGAGGATTTGGTAATGGCTATAAGAAAAAAGTTATTCCCAAGGCTACTCTTTAAGCTTTGTGTTTCTGGATAATTTAATTGGCTTCTTTAAATGACATTGTGGTTAAAATTGACTTAAATTTATTAGACATATTGTGTTGTACAGAATTCCTCATGTCATGTGGCCAACTAATGGAATATTTTATATATGAAGAATTTTAGGCTAAGTTAAACAAGAAATTGTGGTAAAGAAAAATACAATGATTTATGATTTTTATTAAGTCTCATATATTTTAAAGACCTACTGGTACATTTAGAAAATGAATTAATGAAAATCCATGTTCTTTTTCTTATATTTCCCTTTTATCTTGTTTGTAAATTTGTGACAGTTTATAAGGATGATGCAGAATGCCCTCGCAGTGTAGGTGCTTATTCTTTATCAAAGAGGTTTTTGTTGTTTGTCATTTTGTAGCTTGAAATCTTTATTAGGGACAAATGAGTAATACAAATCACTATCATGACGTCAAATCAGAAGCACACCTGAATAAAAAAGAGGATTCTGTTTTAATAGGAAGAGAGAACTATTAAAATGAAATACACTTCAAAAATTTGGTATATGTGGCTGTGTTTTTTTATGAGGAATCAGAGAGTCATTGTAATGCTATATAGTATCTATATGATTGACTATAGGTATGAAATGAATATTGATGAGAATTCTAATTTCACATCGCTAATATTTCTATACTAGAATTGAGAAGTGAGCATTATTTTAAAACTTGTTTCTGGAAATGACTTTCCAATTTTTTTTATTTTGAAGCCTATTTTCCTTTCAAGGAAAAATGAAACATTCAACATTAGTGACAATTTTTTATTATGTAAATAAAATACTTCAAAGCACTTATTTTTTGAAATAATTTAAAAGATTGGATCATAATGCCTGAGTAAAATCTATGCAGTGGATTTAGTTCACATGTTCCATAGGTAAGTGGATTAGAAGCATTAAATACACACACTTTCTCAGAACTGGGAAGCTAAGTCGGAGTTTCTTTAAAGACTTAGCTTCACTGAAGTTGAACATTTTAATTTTCAGGAAATTAAGCTAATTAATGATCCTGATGGAATATGGCAATCATACTTTTAAGATGTGGAAATGTCGATGTAATCAAAATGAGAACATATATGGACAATTGACAAATCATATGTTTTATAACAGAATTTCATAGGAAAATGTCATTAATTTCTCCAAAAAATATACTTATTTTGTACTGTACCCTGAAGACATAGATTCTTATAAGCCCTGCCTTTGTGGTGCCATCTTTGTGACTCAACAAAGTTATTTAATAATACAAAATATTCAACAAAAGCCATTACCAAACTGTATTGTTTAGGCTGTAGTTCTATGCTTGGAGAATGAAGTTTAAGGTGTAAACTTTCTGGGAAATAATAGTTGAAGCTAAAAGCCAACTATGTCTGAATGATTATCAAGAGTTTTTCCATTATATTATCTGAGCCCTTTTTATGTGGCTATTAATTTTAATGGAGCTAAATGTTCATCAATTAATGATAATAGAAGTGAAAACGTGGTTGTAAACAGTGGTTACCAGAAGTTTCAGCTCATATAAACATTATCTACATGAGAATAAATAACCAAGAGCTTTGCCATGCAGGACTGGCTGAATCATCTGAGGCTTCTTGATTATTATAAACAATATTCAGTTGGTTTTTTATCTGAAGAACTGAGTGTGTCTATCTTAGAACCAATAACCATTTTATTTGCTCCTTGAAATATCAAATATATCATTAGGCTATAACTTGACTATGTTTACTATATAAGTCATCATTTAATCTATCAGAAAAATGAATGCTTTAAAAAATGGTTTTCAGGCTGCTTCATTTCCTGCTAAAGTAGGAAACATAGAAAGTACAGTTTTAAAAAATTAATGAAAAAATGTCAGATTTTTTTTAAGTGTTTAGATCGAGTAGCCAGGTAGATCTGTCCCTCCATTTCATCCCTTCTTTCTGAGCGTATTTCACAGGTCCCTGAATCACCCTTTTAACCACCTGGCTCCCCTTTCCGTAATGGAAACTCTAGTTACTGCCATCAATTGCCTTAGTAGAAAAAAACCTGGCACTCCTCTTTTGTCCTAAAGTCCTTCAGAAAATAACATCCAGCTGTTATTTTTCATTTAGATGGTAGTACTCAAATCTTGCTAAACTTAGGAAATTTCTAAATGTTCACCAATAATCAAAAACTATTTTGTAAAAATGTACTAAACAGCTTCAAGCTTCGGATTACCATTGCACCTTATATACATGATTTGGAAATTAGAAGTGGCACGTTGAATAATTTTAAGAGGTATTATTATGTTAAGTAATATTAATATTTGCATTCTTGATCTTATTACCCATTCTGACAATTTTTTAAAAGAAGCAATTACTCATAATATATAACTTAAGAATTTCAGAAGCGTCATTTCCATGGTCCATATCACTTTAATTTTAAAACAAAGTTGTTTTCATCAAAGTTTTTAATATGGGAGAGTTACTACATGGCATTTCTATAAAGATTATGCTTAGAGATAAATTTT